TTGCTGATCCTCTTGAAACTGCTAATATACTAGCATAAACTAGTCTCTTAAGGTGTCTAGAAGTGGCCAATATATTTCAAATCATGTTGCAGTTTATTTGCCATTTCAAGACAAAAACACTGATAAGAGTAAATAAAAGTAACTGTGATAGATGTACTGACCTTATCTTGTCCGGAAGTGCACAGAACAATCCAAAGAAGACTCCGGATCAAGAGAAGCAAAATACATTAACATTATGAATATTCTCCATTATTAAAATTAATTTTTGCACCATAGGACCTAAAGATGATATGGTCATTCAACTGATTGATTAAAATTTGTTCTGGAGCAAGCAAGCTGGACATCTACTGGCCAGATTACAGTGAATAAGAAATATGCCCCACTGTTGTTTTTTGAAATACATCTGTTGTTGTTTTCTATTTGAGGGAAAATGGAATTAGGGTCGAAAGATCTATTTGCAACCACAAAAAGCAAGCAGGCTAAGAAGTGGCATGTTCTGTCTATCAATCTCCTCTGCTCCGTTTCAGAATGAGCGAATGAACAACAACAATTGACCATTATTATTTATTTCAGGAACCGTAATGTACAGGAAATAAAATATACACAAAAATGTAAGATTTTTTTTTTTAGAGCTCTACATGTCTCAACGTTGACTTTCATGGGTGCCCTTTTAAAGGGAGTAATTTAAACTATGCACGTAATAAGGAGCTAGAAGACAACCACCAGGCCAGAAATACCAAGGGGAAACACAATAATTGCCTGATTTCTAGAGCCGAAGGTTTTTTTTGCTGTTACTGCTGTGACTCAGAATGTGTAAACACTATCTAAGCCTCTGAACATGTGAACAACTGTGTGGAAATGTTTATACATGCTCCGCTGGGTTTTTAGTGATTCCAAGAAAACATTGGGTTCGTCTTGTCTCATGCAATCTCGCCTGGAGAGGTTTTGATGTTTATCCCCTATTCATGCCACAGGGCTCTTGGCCTGGCCAGCTCCTCCACGCGAACCGGGGCAACAAACACCACCCATGCCACTACACACCCACAGCACACACAATCCTATAACACTTCTCTGCCACATGAGGCTACACTTTAGTCTTTTGACATTATGTCTGAGTGTGAACAGTTAATAAAGTCAAATGAAAATACAATGGCTACCATTCAGACTTTCATAAGACGGGGCCATTAGCTTTCAAGGAAGCTTCTACAAGAATTACTAGCATTGCTTTGTGTTAACAACAATTCGGCAGTTCTTCTATTTTAGTAATGTTTGTTTGTCACAAGAGCTGTCACGTGTATTTCTGCTTTTTTAATTTGAGTTGGAAATACCAGGAAAAGAAAAAAGGAACTTTTGTCGTCAGCGCTACAAGACACTGACTGGGTGTTTTCTGCCCGTGTCTTATGTAGTCTCAAGGCAAGGCCACCTGCACCGCAGAATATATTTTCAATATAAATAATCTTGTATTTTTAGTGCATTCATGAAGAAAACTGATAAAATATTGATAGTCACTGCAAAATACTTTTATTATTTTTTTATATTAACACTATTTATTAATGTGTGTCATGTGTTTGTAAAATAATAAAGTGAAATATAATTTTCCCCTCTAAATCAATAAATAAGATAAAAATGTAAATCACACAATTCTCCCTCTTTTTTATGGTTTGACAATATCTTTCCAAAACCAAAATGAAAGAAATCTAATGTCTTCCTCTGCCTTCCCGAGGTTGCCAGATTCATTCAACATTCAGTTCAGTTATTAGTAGTAGTAAGTGATTTCTCCTGTGATATACAGTACATGTTTTGTCTGTAATTTATGATATTTGTAGTTGACATGAACATCTGAAAATCTGATTGTGAAAATTGTTTTTTTTTTCTTCCTTTCTTTTACTGGTACTAGTGCAGTGCCCGTAGGAAG